ACAGGATACATTCATCCTTGTAACAATACTTAAGGGTTATGCTCAAAAACTAACTAATGCAAACTTTAAAGTGCTTTCTTTTAACGAAGACCGTAAGGTCTACTCCAGACCACACCATTACAGTTTCAAGTAAAAAGGAAGTAGGACTACTTCAGGTAAGTGAGAGTATTGTCAAGTGAGGGGAAAAACATCGGCTTTTCGATTCACTGAATTTTTTTTAAAGAAATTGGCAAAAAACCTTTTATCCACTCATTACACGATTTAAGATTTACAAAATGTCAGTTCACTTTCGTTTTCTGTGGGAATTTGAAATTTGCGTGAAAACTTGTTCATTTATTGCTGTTAGAAACATCAACTTCACAGCCTTGGAGAGATTTTAAACTATCTTCAGTGCTCTCCTGAAAGTAATCACCCACCCCATATCCCAGACATCATTTTCTACACCATTTCCACTCAACTAGGCACGCTTTAGGTTCTGCTTCTGAAGCAATAATGAAATATTTTCCCACTACTTCTTCCGGAGTGAGAAAATTTGAACTCCCAGACATCTCCTGGGAATGCAAGTGAACAGGCTCCGAGTGCGCAAAGGCAACGGTATTTTGTCAGAGAAGATAAAGAAAGCAAACGGAAGGGCAACTCCTCTGGATCCGGCGCTAGCCTGCAGGGAGGACTAGAAACCAACCCTGAGAGTGCAGCAGCTCTAAGCAGGCATCATGTGGTGCAAGAAACTCTTTCAACTCACTAAACCCAGCAGGAAACAAATCCAGCAGGAAACATTCACCGTTGGGTTAAGAGACAGTCTCAGGGACGTGGCTACTCCGTGCAGCATCAGCAAGCTGCACGTCTATCCGTACCGTATGAAGGGGGAAAACGGTGTATTCGCTGAGCGGAGAAGGACTTGCTCTTCAAAATGAACCAACGTTTACGCGATGAAACAAGGCATTAGTGCAAGACGGGGGTGTTGGACAGGAAAGAGTTCTGATTAATTACAACAGGAAAGCTCTTGCTGGCAAGTCAAAACAAATCCATCAATCCAAAGCGATCAAAGAATACGGACGGCCCTTCTCAAGCCTGTGCAAAGAAGGTTTGTCATGGAACAGAAAATACTTGGCAAGTTGGAAAAGACAGCCTTTCCAAGTCAACACCCCAGTGAGCGATCCCACAGCGATGAAAGGAAGAAAAAGCTAAACGCTCCGTCCTTCAGGCACTTCGGCTGTCCTCATAAAGCACCGGAATTGAATGCGTTACAGCAGCCAGCCTAACCGTACTTGGCCTAGCCAGTTCTCCTTGGAGATTACCTCACCTGGAGGCATGCCTGATGAAAGTATAAGGAGCATAAAGGTAAAGGCTACAGAAACTGCACAGTTAAGACTCATCTTCATTATTTTTGCTAAGGTCTTCCAAACCAGGAAAGAGTTCAAATTAAGGAAAAACCCCCAAGGCTCTTTAAAACAGCAATTGCAGGGGAGACCGCAGATGACTCTTCCCAAAGTTCCAAGTGTAGAGGACAGCAAGCAACTTTAAATATCCGCTAAGAAAAAGTAAATCGCCCGCTCCAAAGACCGGAATCGTAACTGAAAACGTCACACCCCCCTTTCTACATACACACAAGCCTTTGTTGTGGGTAGCCGCCGGCATCTTATCAGGAATTGTAAATGCTCTGTAAGAAAAGGCTATTCAGCGGGAGAATTCCACTGCTTCCAAGGCTGCTTGCCTGAGCACTGTCCCTCTGCTGTCTAACTCCTCATGTCTCCGCTTGCTTTTTCTATGGAGTTGCTTAAGTAAAACGGTGAGATTACTTCACCAATATACTTTTTACTCCCCTCTATTAAGAACCATGCTGATTTGCCTCGTATGTGTCTGAAACGCCAGATTCATTTTTTTAGACTCTATTTCCATACTGAACACTCTTCAGTTGCTATTCCACTATCAGCTGTATTTCAATCTCTTTTCTCCCTGATGTCCCCCTGATTCCTTAAAAATATTAAGGCAGCAGAAAGTTTGGCTACTGCTGTAAGCTCACAGAAATAGAAAAGCTATGAAAAGCACTTCAAAGTTTATGTTTTTGGGACAAAAGAACGTTCTGGATCATCTCTTCAGAACCGGGCACCATGCCTTGAGCAGCTTTTAACACTGTTTCTTTTAAAGTGCTGATATTTCAGAGTACTGTAACATGCCAGCACAGGGGGAGGGTAAATGAAAGCGTTTGTGAGTGGAAGCAGGAGAAAACATGGCACGTGTTGATGGCATCGAGGTCTTGGTGATGCCAGCACACCCATGTAGGGTTTCTCCGGACACAGTGATCAGGAAAATAAGCAACAGCACAAAAATCCTAATGACTCAGAGAGGTGAGAAAGGATGGAGTGAAAATACTATCGGCTCTTTAGGGGTACGAGAACAAAACTAGCACGTAGCAGTCGATGGAGGAAGAATGTAGGAGACACAGGAACACAACAGTGGATGTCCCTTGCTCTCCATATCAGCACAAGAAATCCTGACAGGGATCCTCAGGTACAGCTCGGTGCCTGTATACTCCATAAACTACTCGGAGACACACGTGGGTGCTGGTGGGGGAGCAGGTGTCGAAGTGTCAGTGAGCTGATGTTGTTTTGAAACAAACTCACCTTCCCCTCCTCCAAGGTCTGGTGTTCAGCTTGGCTACAGCATCGCGTGATTCCCTACAAGGGCTGCCTAGGCGGCTGGGCCACCCCAGCGCAGCCCCTTTTCCACTGTGTAACCACCCCCCACACCGTCACTACCCTGCCCAGCAGCTCAGGATTGCCACCCCAGCAGAGAGCAGACAGCACGTCACTTCAGTCTCTGGTAGCTCCCGGAACCTGCCACAGTCAGGTCTCTTAGTGGTCTGACCTGTTTCTTAAGAACGATTCTTTGTTAATATAACCTCTCTTCTTCCTAAATCAGTGTATTGAGACTGATCAGTTTATTTGCAGGATCAATGTCTGCACCCACGCAAGACAGCCGACAGTAGAAAAAGAAATATTATCATCAAAACTAGGATGCAGATATCCCCGTTCCATGGAAGTCATTACGAAAAATAAAAATCAATGTTTCTGTATTTTTTTTAAAGTCATTTGCAAACAAATTTGGGTGTTACTGTCAGTTTACTCCTTAAAACCAACAAAGAAAGCACCGTCATCCTCAAGCTACGTAATACTAAGCTATTTCTCACAGAAAACTGTTTCCAAAATTATTAAATTTTTATAAATTTTTAAATCAGAGCTTTACTTACTTTGTACGTAAAAGCCTTCCACGGTAAGTGTGCAACAGATTTCATCTAGGATTAAAAAATATCAATTTTGAATAAATGCTGGAAGAAGAGAATTAAAAGTCTTCTATCACTTCTCAATCTTACCTTGTAGTTTACAAACAGCTGGGGCAGCATAAACAGGAACCCAAAAGCATACACTCCTGAAGACAGAAGATGAAAAACTTAGAGAGAGATGCACAGCAGAAGTACGGAGCGCAGCTACGCTTCCACAATTAGAGATTTACACTCATTTGCCTAAAGAGAGAAGATGCAGCTAATCCCTTTGGTTCACTCTGGGTTGATTCTCCTCCCTTTCTCAATCACTGTGATACTTTTTGGCACCTACAGTCAAGTTATTGCTCTACATGACCCCAATCCAGCTGATGGCAGTTAAGTTTCTACTTTTGAGTCCTGGCCTCCACTGGAAGAAATAGGAAGAGAAAACAAACCATTAGAAGGGACTCACCGTTGACAAAGCTGTTAATCAGCCAGGAGTACCAGCTACAAAGAAAGACGACAGTCCAGTTACTCATTTCAACTTAACCCAAGATATCTCCCTGTAACACACCCTCTACACGACCGTGCGCTGACTACCTGAAGAAACGCCCGCGCTGTGAATTACGCTACGCGAGAACCGAACGCCTCGCATCTTCCTTTGGTTAGAAAGGGCTCTGGAGAAGGTGCTAACAGTTTAAGCAAAGGAGGTTTATCAGTGCATCCAACAAGTTCGGAGAGCCTGATCAACTGCTTTTATACTTTTTATGAATGCTCTAAGACTTCTGCACCCAAAACGACATCAGATAATAGTGCACTCTGAACCTCGACTGTATTAAGGCTCGCAAAGGTAACACTCAGGTCTAAATACTAAAGAAACACTTAACATGGCCCTATCAGGACTTAACAGATTTCAAACAACAAAAAGCATTCAGTGCAAACCACTATAGCAAGCACCTGGGGATGGGGGAAAAAGGTAAACACAAGGAATCTCCGTTTTTTCCCCTCCTTGCACCTAAATCCGCCCCTGGGCATTCAGCGGAGCACAGTCTTAGCAACACAACAGCAGTGTTACAGACAGCGGTCCGAGTCCCTTCTGCTTGCGACGGTAAGAACAGCCAGGAACTGTGCTGCCCAGGTTACATCATTTAAAATTAAACGTGCATGTCTGTGTGGCTTGTTAATAGGGACATTACAGCTGTAGCGGCATTTCACTAATCCATCAGCATCTAAAAATGGCATCAGAAAATGCCCGCAGGATTAAAGAATAATCCACTGTTCAGATTACTTGTTCGATCGCATTTCCTTACACATAGATTTAATAACGATAAAAATTCTAGGATATCAATGCTTTCCACTTCCTTCAGCTACACCTCACATATATGATTCTGCAGTACTGAATTTAAGAATTTTGTGAGAAAAGCAGAGTTTTTAAATGCTGCATATTTGTTGGCTCCTTAATGAGACAAGAACCTTCTGAAAAAATTATTTTTCTAACAGCCCAGAAACTGCCCCAGTTTCTAGCATAAGTGCTACAGCCCACGCACCCAGCAACAGTAGTTCCTTCTGATGTTATTTTAAGCTACTGTTAGCTCTCCCTCCCGCCCCTTTGGGGCCTAAGGACTACGGAAAAAAAATAAAAATCATTCAATATATAAATCATAAAATAAAAATTTTAGTTTTGTGTTTCGTTTCCAGGTGGGGTCTCCTAAGAGCAGAGCAGAGGGGGAGAATCCCCTCCCTTGACCTGGTGTCCATGCTTCTCCTGATACAGCCCAGGATACGGTTGGCTTTCTGGGCTGCCAGCACACACTGTGGGTCACGCTGAGCTTCTCATCCACCACCACCCCCTGTGTCTGCATGGCCACCACCACACTTGCATTTGCAGATTTCTTCTCCAACAGCCCATGGCTGCACACTTGCTGGCGTCTCTCCAAAGCAGAATGAACCAGCTGTGTTACTGAGTGAAGGTGGACAGCAGTTCCACGTTTTCATGAAAGTACTGCGTCTTCAGCTCTTGCTGAAGTATCAATATCTTACTGTAAGCCCATGTTTCTAAAGTAATACCAAGGCCTTCCTTAAAAAGGCTTTGCCCTGCTTGCCATCCTGCTGTCATATTTAGGAACAGAGGACCCTCTTGGTCAGAGTAAGTAACTTGAATAGTTTCTGCTTCTCTCTGTTATTGGACAGGTTTAACCACTGAATTCCTCTCATCGTTCCTGGCACCTGATCACCATCTGAACATCCATCAGTGCACTGAACACCTGACGAAGCAGCCTTTTTCCTCCTCTTCTGATTCACAGCTTGTGTACGTAACCTGCTGAATTCTACACTACCGTAGTATCAGGTCACTTGCTAAATACAACCGCCTGTAGCTTACGGGATGTTAAAAAAAAAAAACAACTAGACTTTTCAGATTTAGATCATACGTAATAAGGAAGTCTGTAGTTCCTAGCTTGCAGATCAAGCAAAATAAAATAACTGATTTCCATAACTCCTCATCCCCAATTAATTAATACAGGAAAACACGGGGAATGCTTCAATTCTGTGTAAGATCGTTGATAGATTTACAGTACCTTTTGTATTTGACATTCAGCAAGGAGTAACCTGCACCTCCAATACACAGTGGATAGAGCAAATATGACAAGTATTTCATAGCCTAACAGACAACAAAAACAGTTTGTTAGCTTACATTTTACATACAGCAGATTTGTCATGGCATTAACTAGAAGACCGCCGCACAATATTTTTCCCGAAAATCTTTTCCTATTTCCAAATGCCTACTATTATTTCCAGTATGCTTCCAGGTCTAGAGTAAGTGGTGAAAATTCCAATGCTGAGTTCAGACCACCGAAGACCACAGAGCACAAGCAACAAGCGGCAGCTCTCTGCTTAACTTCCCAACTTCTTCGACTCCTTTCAGAAATCAGGAAGCACATGACCATTCCCTCCAGTATAACAAGTACAAATATAAATTTTCAAATCTGTGAGTGTAGACCCCTGAGGATATTTCTCTTTGGTCACTTGCATTTCTGCGTCTTGGAGAAGCATTTCTGCTTCTGTTTCAACCAGATTCAGCCAGCAAACAACTCTTTGACTGTTTCTTTTCATAAACTATTAGAATGAATCTTCACTATCTGATCATCCACATAATGATCATCCACTTGACAACTGTGAGAAAATGGAAAACGTGCATGCGAAGAGCGAAACGCGTCAATCAGCAGGCCGCACACACAGACTTCACAGACCAGAAGTCGCAGGATTCCCTCTTACCTGGGTATCGTACTCCTCGGTTTTCTTTTCAGAGTCACTGTATGTACCCAACTGTAATATATAAAACGTATGATCAAGTCAGCAGTGGGGGAAAACCCACTTGCTGTCCAAGTCCCTAAACAGATATTTAAACTGCAAACTAAACTGCTTAGACATTAAGCTATGCAACAGTTTAAAGTTCTTACCATCCTCTATACCTGAGTCAAAAGCCAAATACAGGGTAGGCAACACGTTTTTTCATTCACATTTTACATCAAACATCCAGGCCCTCTTCGCTTGTGAAAATGCTGTGGGACAGCAGAGTTCACAAAGCAAAAGCCAAGTCAAGTGGCTAAGAATCTGGCAGATACAGGAAGCCATTATTAAAAACCATAACCATGCTCATATGCACAGAGAGGTCAGTTACAGATTATCTCCACATCTCCAGAAGGTGTGACTGCTGAAACACAGTTCCTTCACTTGGAACAACCAGAGCTAAGTGCCAGTAAGGACGCACAGGCTTGCAAACCCCAGTACGTCTTGTGAAGTAAACACTGAAGATTAGATAACTGTTTCTCCTCCCAGCAAGGGAAACCTTCAGAGTAGACTCTACTTTTAAAAGTGTTAATCTGAGTCACAGCTGCCTCTGCATGTCCTGCAGTCAGTCTCAGGAATTAGATTTTTACCTTGAGGATGTGTCAAAGACTGTCCTGTCCCCAGAACACATCACATCACCTACTATCTCACAATGGCTAAGTTAGACCTACAGCTTCATGAAAAATTCAGTTTCTTACTTCAAATCACGATGCCATTTAAGAGTGCCTTTCCAACAGTGGCAGGAATCACAGAATGGTTTGGGTTGAAAGGACCTTAAAGACCATCTAGTTCCAACCCCCCTGCCATGGGCAGGGACACCTTCCACTAGACCAGGTTGCTCCTCATCCAGCCTGGCCTTGGACACTTCCAGGGATGGGGCATCCACAGCTTCTCTGGGCAACCTGTTCCAGTGCCTCACCACCCTCTCTGGGAAGAACTTCTTCCTGATATCCAATCTAAACCTCCTCACTTTCAATTTAAACCCATTACGCCTTGTCCTGTCACTACAGGCCCTTGTAAAAAGTCCCCCCCAGCTTCCTTGTAGCCCCTTCAGGCACTGAAATGCTGCAATAAGGTCTCCCCGGAGCCTTCTCTTCTCCAGGCTGAACAAGCCCAACTCTCTCAGCCTGTCCCCATAGCAGAGGTGCTCCAGCCCTCTGAGCATCTTCATGG